ATACTACGTTGGATCATGGAGAGGAATCAGTTGCTCCGGTGAATGTTGTGGAGAACTCAGCAATTGATCCTGTTGAAGACATTCTTAATCAAGTGCAAGAGTCTGTGATTCAATGTGTAATGGATATTCTGGCTGATGAGGTAATTGGGCAGGCATCGCCTGTGGGGGATCCTGTGCAGGGTCTAATTGTTGAGGATGTGGTCTCCCCTTCATCAAATGGTGGGGAGGGGGGGGGGGCTCAAGTCAGTTTTGCTGAGGCAATGAAGGGATCATCAGCTGCTGCTCGGAGCCCTAACACCCCTATGCAACAGTCTGTTGGTAGTAAGTCACCTTCTGCTGAAGGGAGCTTGCTGTCTCAGATGACTGCTCGAGCTATTAAGACTGGATCTAGATTTGCTATCCTTGATAAGGAGAATAGAATCCCTCCAAGTGCTACTGACAAAGGTAAGAAGATTTGGATTGATCCTCCAGATGTTAGGGATAACAGAAAGAAAGGGGGGAAAGGTAGAGGGAGAGGTAGGGGGTCGTAGATGAAGATTCTCTCATGGAACACAATAGGGTTTGTTGCGGATAAGAAATATACAGTTGTATTAGATAAATAAATATAGTTTAGATATTGTTGCTATTTCGGAGACTCGGGTTAGTAGACTGAAAGCTAAGAAGTTGAAGCAAAAGATATTTGCAGGATGGGGACAGGAAATCTTATTCAATGATGAAGGTTTGGGGAAAATTTGGTTAGCATGGTGCTCTGAGATTCAGTTGACTATCATAGACAACTCTGATCAGTTTGTTCATGTTCTAATTGAAGGCAAGACTCCATTTTTTGCTACGTTTGTGTATGCTTCAAATAGTGAGAGTTAGAGGGAAGAGCTTTATGCTGATGTTACTCGATTCAAAGTGGTTAATTTACCCTGGATTCTTGTTGGGGATTTTAATGCTATTAGAGATCCGAGTGAAGGCTCAAATAATCCTTAGTATTCTACTAGTATGAAGTCTCTAAATGACTGGTTAAGAGAAATCGAGGTGGACGAGCACAAATCTACTAGGCCATGGTTTACATGGCTCAATAAGAGGCAAAATGACCTCATTGCTAGAAGACTTGACAGGGTTTTTGTCAATTTGGATTGGTTAGAAGAGATGAAGCATAGTGTAGTGCAAATGCAGTCTCCTGGGGTCTCAGATCATTGCCCGGTTTTTATTCAATCTGAGTTCCCTCTTAAGTCTTTGCCTAAGCCATTTAAAATTTTCAACTTCTGGCTTGAGCATCCAATGTATGAGGGGCTACTTGCTCAGCCTTGGACTGAAGTTGTGGAAGGTTCTCCTTTGATAAGGGTTTACAAGGATCTAAGGATACTCAAAGGTTTGCTCAAGAAGCTCAACAAGGAGGAATTCTCTGATATAAGGGGGAGAGTAAGGTAAAAAGAAAGAGAACTGGAATCTATTCAATTGGATGCCCTTTCAAGTCCTTCTCAAATGAGTTTTGAGATTGAAGTACGGGTTTCTAAAGAACTGTTTGATCTTATTAAAGCGGAGGAAAGTTTTCTGAGGCATAAATCTAGAGAGTTGTGGCTAAAGGTAGGAGATACAAACTCAAGTTACTTCCATTGCTCTATGAGAACTAGACTCAAAAGGAATACAACTACTTATCTTAAGGATTCTCAAGGAAACTCAGTCACTTCAGTAGAAGGCATGTGTCAAGTGGCTATTGATTTCTATATGCTTCTGCTGGGGAGAGAGAATCCGCATGTTGAGATAGAATCAGTGGATTTCTACAAGGGTTTGGTAAGGCACTAGATCAATTCTGAGCAGGTATCCTCTCTCTGTGCTCCTATCACTGTCACTGAGGTAAAAGATGTTGTGTTCAGCTTTAATGAAGATAGGAGTCCTTGCCCGGATGGATATAATGCAAGATTTTTTCAAGCTTCTTGGAGAGTTATTGGGGCTGAAATTACAAATGCCATCCAGAGTTGTTTTGTGACTGGGAAGATACCAAGAGAGGTAAATGCTACTATCCTTGCTCTGATTCCTAAGGTCCAAAACCTAGATGAGATGAAGTTTTTTAGGCCTATTTCTTGTTGCAATATAGTGTATATATGCTTATCAAAGATTGTGGCGAACAGATTTAGTTCCCTCCTGCCCCTAGTAATTAGTAAAAACCAGATTGCATTTGTAAAAGGGAGGGTCATTGGGGAAAATATTCTCCTGGCTCATGAGCTAGTGCATAAGTACTTTAGGAAGAATATTTCCACTAGGTCAGCTTTGAAGATTGATCTTATGAAAGCGTTTGATTCTGTGAATTGGCAATTTCTTTTTGTTGTGCTTGAAGCCATGGGGGTACCTAGTCAGTTCATTAAATGGATAAGGATGTGTGTCACAAGTCCTATGTTGAGTATTGCTTTTAAAGGGGGTTTAGTGGGACACTTCCCTGCAAAACAAGGTTTGAGGCAGGGAGACCCTCTCTCCCCATATTTGTTTGCCGTAGCTATGGAGGTTTTTTCCTATCTTTTGGATCTGGAAGCTGAGAAAGGGAGATTTCCTTATCACCCAATGTGCAAGAAAATTGGATTGACTCACTTATGTTTTGCTGATGACTTTTTGGTCCTTTTTGATGGGTCAAATTATGGTATTCAGAGTGTGCAGAGGGTGTTGAGTGTGTTTCACAAGCTCTCTAGGCTCCGGTCAAATCCTAGTAACTGTGAAATTTTCTTTGGAGGGTTAGAGAAGGAGGAGATGGTGGCACGAGCTAGCAGATATGGTTATTAGTTAGGTGGTTTCACAGTGCGTTATCTAGGAGTACCTCTAGTGGCAGGGAAGCTCACAGTTAATGCCTGCAGGCCTCTCATAGACAGAATTACAAGTAGGGTGCAGGGATGGAAGGCAAAGTCTCTCAATTTTGCTGGCAGGGTGGAATTAGTTGGCTCTGTCTTGTATAGTAGGACACGGTATTGGATGAGTGTCTTTATGCTTCCCAAAACGGTTATTCGTGAGGTTCAAAGAATCTGTAGTAACTTTCTCTGGTCTGTTGGACCTGGGCTCAAGCTTAAAGCGAAAATGGCATGGAAGTACCTATCTATTCCGAAGAAAGAAGGTGGATTGGGATTGAGGGACCTCACTACCTGGAACTATGCTTGTGTCTTTAGGAAGATTTGGGCGATAATGCTGCAGCATGGCTCACTGTGGGTAGCTTGGATTTAGGAATATAAGTTGAAAGGTAGAGATTTCTGGACTGTGAATGTGAATGGTTCCTGGAACTGGAAGAAGTTGCTGAGACTTCGAAGTAAGATCCCTAACCTATTTAGCTTGAACAATGGCTTGCTTCTCTGGAATAATAATGTTATGCCAAGATACTCTATAAAGTTGATCTGGGAAGTTGTTAGGCCAAAGCAAAATGTAGTAAGATGGTATAAGCTTCTCTAGAAGGGGACTACTATCCCTAGAAACATGTTTCTTGTCTGGATTATTATTCGTAACAAGATACAAACAAAGGACAAGATGAAAAAATGGGGATTTGTAGGTTCGAATCATTGTTTTCTCTGTGATCAGCCAGATGAGACAAGGGATCACTTGTTTTCTGTCTGCCCCTACTATTCTTCTATCCATCAGCTACTGTTGGGTAAATTTAGTTCTTTCTTGCCGTAAACATAGGAGGAGAACCTTGACTCGGATATTAAGAAGTTTGGAGCAAATTCGTCGTGCGCAATGACAGGACGATTGATTTGGAAGTCTATGGTGAGTCATACTTGGAGGGAGCGCTGTTATAGAGCTTTTAGTAACAGCAAAAAGCCCCCTGAAGCTCTGGTTTCCATGGTAAAGAGTGAAGTTAGAGTGTTGGTGCAGGACCCAAAGGAGATTGAAATATTCTGGCCCCCTGATTCTTAGATTGCCTGGTCTCTTACCCGGAATTGCTTTTTTTTTTTTTTTGGTTCTTCTTTGGTAGTTTTACACTATTGGTTCTTATATATAGAAGTTTTTCCAGTCAAGTTTGGTTATTGTTGGTAGTTTGTATTGCTGGTTCCTTATATCTTCAGGTTTCATTCCCCTCTAGCTGGCAAGGGTGTTGCCAGCAACACTTTTTGATGAAATGAAAGTAATACCGATTCATAAAAATAAAAAAATATATTTACTTTTTATACTAACCCAAATCAAAACAGGAGAAATTATTAATATATACTACATTATTAATTTATCGAGTATTAATTTAGAGAAGTTTTAGTACACTTTTTTACGTTCTCTCAGACGTCTATAATTAAGGTTCAAAATAAAATGTTTAAACTTTTTGAATATTAAATCCCGAGTTTTGTCATATACGTGGCATGTTCCAAGTTGTCTTGAACTCTTGATTGATTGGCTGTGCCAATGGTCCTGTGGTTAAATATCGGCGACAAATCATGTCTACACAATAAGTTAGAAATACACCTACTCGATAACTACATAATATCCTATCCAAATTCAATGAGCTGGAAGATACTAAACTTTGTTCCTTTCTGCAAACTCAATATCAGTTGAAACTTAACCATAATAGTCATATAACTTTAGTGTCTTTACAAAAATGGTACGACGAAATTTGGTTTCTTTTTTCCCAAATAGGAATGCAATTTTGATAGTTCATAACAAGATATCTCCTTCCTTTATTCATTTTGAAATTCTATTGGTTATGGCCATCACATTAGTAAGAAATTCAACAAATTTTTAGGTTGAACTACCAGTACGATATGATTTCAGCTCTAGCACCAATAGATAGATTGGTTCTGAGTGTTTACACGGATTTTTGGTAGTTTATGTTAATTTTTCGGATGTCTTGAAGGCTGACCTTGCAAACTAATCAAAACTTGGATGTATATGGATGAAACTGACTATTTGTTACAAAATATGAAAATAATGTGACCAATTTTGGGGAAAAGCTACGTGGCCTTTTTTGTTTAGGTTACCGGCCATGCATCATGGATAATTACCAGCAACTCACAATCATTTCCTATATATACATATACTTACATACGCACCTTAATTAATTCGTTGCAAAGATACAAATATCACACGATAACGCTTTATACAAAGAACTAATGGCAAAAATATCAACAACGACGACCACCAACTTGGTCATCATATCATTTGTGTTGATGATCACCATCGCCTTCTTCCTACCTACTTCAACATCTGCTCAATCTCGTGCTAAACCTCATCATCGCCGTCACAGTGCAAATAATAATAAGCGGATCTATCATCGGGGAGGTGAAGTTACCGGAATCCTGGCCGCCGGCGCCGGTAAGGTTGGAGGTAGGGCTGATGGTGGTAAGATCACCGTGACGAACAAGGCAAAGAACAGGCTCGACAATGGAGCCAACGTTAAGAGCGGCGCCGGTGGAAGTAATGGTGCAAGGATTCGTGCCACCCTTGGTGATCTGTTGAGAGCACACAATAATAATAAGAATAATGGCCAGCGTGGCCGCAGAGCAATGGGTTATTATGGCGACGAGAAATTAGCGTCGCGCGCCGGAGGCCTCTCTAGCGTCGGTGGTGGGCGCCGCTGCGATGAAACTGTTGCTCTGAATAGTGGCGGCGGCGGCGGTGGAGACGGAAGGAAAAATTGAATGCATCAATTAAACTACCACGTTCTGGTGATGAAGTCTTCGATTGTCTATTGCAACCGATGTAATAATTAATGTGTCATGTTAAGATACTTAAATAAAGGAGAGGGCGACTTTGTTTATGGATATATAGTATACGGTGTGTTTTCAAGTTGGAGGAATCTATTCTACATCTATCTATCTATCTATCTATACATAATATTATGGCAATTCAAAAGTAATTGTTTGCCACCTAAGGACTTAGAGAGTTCACAAATTGCCAAAGTGGACAATATTTTTACAAAAAGAAAAATAGTTATTGGTATATTTATGGAGCTATCTCTCTCTTCATTTAATATTTCATTTATCTTTTATCCTTTTTTGTATTATATCAATGTACACAATAATAAATAATGTATGAAAAGTGACATATATTACATTTGTTATCTCTAACTTTGTTAATATTTATTTTTCTTTTCCAATACTTCCTTTATGTTTTTTTTTTTTACTTTTGCATTGTATCGATGTACGCAACAATAGACTAATGTCTTTGAGTCACACATATAACTTTTTTCTCAACCAAAAAAAATCTTATTAAAGCTCACTAAGTAAACTTTTAACTCACTTTCACAATAATTTATAAATATGTTACATTTTAATGAACAATTTATACAAACACACATGCATAATAACATTTTATCGCGACAAAATAAAGATGGAAATTAAAGAGAGAAAACAAGAAACGTTTGAATAGAAACTTGACCAAGCAATACAATCTATTTCTTAAACAAAAACCTTATTCATTCTAATTAAGTGAAGACATATGAATCATAGGTGCAATAATTTACAATGTATCCTAAGTTCAAATTACTAATATTTTGCATTTTTGCTCTAGATCGTGTTAATTGAGCAAACTCTACTGAAGTTTTAGGTCATATGTTAAGAAATTTAATTTTCAAACTTGAAGCAATAAATTTTCAAGGATTATAAATCAAAATTTTCAAAATGACTTCGGTATGATTGTTTATGAACTTGACTTCATGTCTTAAGATGAGATACGAGATACATTAAAAAATGATACATGTGAAAGTTAGATGAATCTTTGCTAAACTGTATGTTAAACATCATGTGTTCATCAACCACTGACCTATGCGATAATCAAATAAAGGTTTAAAATCTATCTATCTGTGACAATTCAACAATAGTTTGTTGCCACATAAGCACTTGAAAAATTTACAAATTATCACATAAGCACTTGAAAACAAGAAACGTTTGAATAGAAACTTGACCAAGCAATACAATCTATTTCTTAAACAAAAACCTTATTCATTCTAATTAAGTGAAGACATATGAATCATAGGTGCAATAATTTACAATGTATCCTAAGTTCAAATTACTATATTTTGCATTTTTGCTCTAGATCGTGTTAATTGAGCAAACTCTACTGAAGTTTTACGTCATATGTTAAGAAATTTAATTTTCAAACTTGAAGTAATAAATTTTCAAGGATTATAAATCAAAATTTTCAAAATGACTTCGGTATGATTGTTTATGAACTTGACTTCATGTCTTAAGATGAGATACGAGATACATTAAAAAATGATACATGTGAAAGTTAGATGAATCTTTGCTAAACTGTATGTTAAACATCATGTGTTCATCAACCACTGACCTATGCGATAATCAAATAAAGGTTTAAAATCTATCTATCTGTCTATCTATCTATCTGTGACAATTCAACAATAGTTTGTTGCCACATAAGCACTTGAAAAATTTACAAATTATCATGGTTGACACTTTTTTACAAACACAAAAGTAAGTTAATGTTCAATTTATGTAGCTATCTCTATCTTCATTTAATGTTTCCTTTTGTTTTTATTTAATAATTCATTTGTACCTTTTGTAGTATATGTGTGTAGCAGCAGTATACTAATGTTTAGAGGCTGACATGTATCCCGATTGTTTAAAATAAAATATTTGAATAAATCTTATTAAGTAAATTTTCAGTTTACGTCATATGCTAAGTAGGTGTTAGGCCATTACCTTTTGATTTTTCGTTAAGAGAAGAAATTTTGAGTGAAGGAAAGCAAACCAAATAACGGATGTTAAATGCAATAGAGAGTGGAGATACCCGGGTAGACGAAACTAACTATGTCAACAATTTTGTGGCGCATGTGAGAAATGGTGCAGGAGGACAATTTAAAATTCAGCTGCCGATGTTACTATATGGGCCGTGAATTAGTGGACAAAGGTGAGGATTGGACAGAGCATATCTGGTATAGAACTTCAGTAGCGGTCGTGACAAAATGGGGGAGGAGACAACTTAGCAATTGATACATAGAGTAAATAACATTTAAATAGCTAAACCTTTCAGTTTTTTTAAATTATTAGCCAAACCTTTCGAACTACAAATGATTAGCCAAATATTTTGTATCACATCAAAATATTATCCATTTTTTTGTTATCATTAATAATTTTGTAACTCTTTTTTAATTAAAATACTAAATTGGATTATAGACCGTCACGTGTCTCTTCCAACTCATCATCATGTTGTTGAGTCAATATTACTAACAAAAATGCTAACGGGGAGTTAACGTTTGGCTAATACTTTGTATTTTGAATTGTTTTTGAAAGATTTGGTTAATAAAATGTATTTACTCTGTTATATAATATACTAAATTTGGGTCTCTTGATAGACATATGTTAACATAAGATCGTTAGGAGACTTCATGAACATTCACATGAAAATGAGGCAAGATTAGAGAAGTTGATCATCGGTATGATCTTTCTTAGCAAACACATGCATTTTTTTGCAATAAAACACATGCATAACTAATAATATATTTACGGAATAAAATAATTTGATAATAATTCAATGGAGCAAGAATAGATCACCTCATTGGCTAAATGAAGATGATAAGTAAGAATAACTTTTCTCTCACTTATAATGTGTACTTCCATCCCTTATTTTCTTTTACAATTATTCATATTTCCCCTTATTTTCTTAACATTTTACAAATCCCGGTAAAAAACAAGTATTAATTACACTTAAATATAATTAAACTCTTTTTAATATATATGCTATATATTGACAATAAATGTGGCCATACAAAAAAATGCATATATTAGTATAAGTAATAGAAATTTTTAATTCTAAACAAATAACAAACATAAATGAATTTTAGAAAATGAAGGTTCTACAAGTTATAAGATTATACACTAACGCGCCATATTAAGATCAAAATCTGTATGTGAGTATCTTGGATTGAGATTCTAAAATAATATATAAACAACGACAATGAGTCTCAGTTAGTCCAAATTAAATTTCAGAAATTAGCAATTGATACATATTGTATAAGAAACTAAATACAAATAAGATCTTACAGTAAACTTCATGAACATCCAAAGTGTCAACTTTTAATTGGGATGAAGAAATTTATCCAATAATGAAGTATATGTACAAAGAAACTCTAACTAAGATGTCCTCATCTGAATAACGTGGATTCATATAAGATAGAAAAAATTGTACATGGGACGTGGTATACCTTTGTTACATGGTTTATGATTAGACAATTCAAACATTATAAGTGAATGTGCCAAGTATTGAGAATTTTCAATATATAGACACACCACATACTCACTTATCAATACAAAATATAATAAATTTAGAAGGTTTAAAATAGTTTAAACATATAGATAAATTGAATTAATGTCGACGATAAAATGAAATTCTCCGGCCAACGGGCCGGGTAAAAAGCTAGTTACTATTATGATTAATGGAATGGGAAATCAAACAGCTGTGAACTCATGAATTTGACTATGACACTAATTTGATATATTACTATTTACTAGTGTGGGCCCCGGCCAGTTGGCCGGAGGAAGGTAGGATGGCAATGGGTCGGGTTGGGTCGGGTTTTGCCAAATTCAAATTCAAATCCATGGGTTTATCCGTGAAAAAAATTCGGGGTAAAATCCACTGGGTTTGAAAAACTCAAACCCAACTCAACTCCCTGGGTATCCGCGGGTTCATGGGTACCCACAGGTTTTTGTCTTAAAAAATTTACAATAACAAGTTCCTATCAAAATTAAAGTCAAATATCAATCTCTCAATACAAATTATCCATATATAAAATACCATTCTAGAAAATTCAAGCAAATAACAAATTATCCATAAATAACATGATTAATTGAAAGCTTCTTCCTTTCAATTAAGTTTCTTCACTCTCCACTCGATAACATCAACTTCATTCTGCACAATTAGAAAGAAAAAATTAGACATGTCTCCACAAACATAAATAAGATAAGTAGTTTAGAATATTAAATATATCGAGAAAATTAATTATATGGGTGTGGGCGGGTACCCATGGGTCGGGTTTACCTAAACCCAAACCCAACCCAACCCGATGAATATTGAACGGGTTTAAACCCAAACCCGGCCCAAAACCCGTCAACACGGATTTTACCCGCGTTGACCGGGTTGGGTCGGGTGGGTACCCGTGGGTTCGTGTTTTGTTGCCATCCCTAGAGGAAGGTGAGGTATGAAATTTGATAATGTAATGGGGTGTATAACTTATTGTTGTATAGTTTTTTTGGGAAACACGTGATAAAAATAGTGAATTTTAGCAGGAAAGAGACATTAATGATGCAACAAATCAAAAATCGGCCTTATGAACCAAAATCAAGTACCTGTTACCTTGTGAAACAATATTGTTTCTGGCAATATGATGAGGTGGAGTAAGTTTTATAGAAACTGAATTCCAGAAAATTGAATAAAAAATCGCCTATCACGTCGGTTTTCGGGAAATGAGCATCTCACAATCGTTGCTAGCTTTTACTTGGCCCGTTGGCCGATTAATTTGGTTTATAAAACTTTCATCTTGTCGTCATTGTGCTTTCTGGTTTTTTTCAGGCCATGATAAAATCTAAGGAAATCAAGAACGAACAACACGATTTGGGATAGGAACCGTCGTTGTCGTATCCCTAGAAAATGGTGGTAAACACGGACTCACCTGCCAAACTGGTTTGGATTGAGATTTTTATCGGGTATCAGGGAACCATGTGATTATAAATTAGACTTGATCAAAAGGGGCCAAAACTTGAAATGCAG